AATTTACCCTATACCATATTATAATGAGTAAATTACACTGACTTTACTTAAGTTTAAAATATATATATATATATATATCTATATAACAAGGGAGGGAAGTTTTTGAATCTTGATAATACTTTTGTCTATTTGTCAAAATATACACCATTAGATTGATTCAATCCAATGGTTGAAAATGTCTCCCTCCTTTGGACATTTTAATGGTTGAGATCAGTTTGGGTAAATATCAATGTTTGAGATCAGTTTGGGTAAATATCAATGTTTGAGATCAGTTTGGGTAAATATCAATGTCTCTCTCTCTCTCCCTCTCTATCTCTCTCCTTTTTTCTCACCCTCAGACGTCTTCACTGTTTCTCTCTCTAATTTTGATTTCAAAATTTGAAACTCTATTCTCTCTCTCTACAAGTTTGATCTCCTATGGTGCCAACACATCACATACCCATACCCAACAACACCACAACTCACCACTCTCTTTCTCTCTCTCTCTCTCTCTCTCTTCACAAAACCCATTTTCTGGGTCTCTTTCAATTCTATTTAAATTCTTTCATTTCTTGATTCTTTTTATTTTTTGGGGAGTTTTGTCATCTCTGTTTTTGAAGTTTATTGTGAAGTTTGTGAAGCGGTGGAGGATCTTCCCATTTTTTTTTTTGCAATCGATTTCTCATTTCAGAACTTTCGGCGATTTCAAGCTTGATCTGGGTTTTCAACGGCTTTGATCACTGTTTTTGTGTGATTGTAGTGAGAGAGAAAGAGATATGTTGGGTTTATCGAGGTTTATTGAGATATGTTGGGTTTATCGAGATATGTTGGGTTTATCGATGGCTGAAGGGGGATCTCATTACTGCTCTAAAAAGAAGGACGATATTTGCGGTGATGGTTGCGATAAGGTATTATATATATATTTTTTCCATGACATTGTTGAAATTTGTTATTGTCAATAATTTTTGTTGATTTTTGGGTTTTGGGTTAGTCATGGTTTGTTTGGCTGCTGAGAAAGTGAGGAAAAACAAAGGACTAGATGATTTTGACTTTCCAACTTTTTCCTTATTTGGTTCCCTCAAAAACCCAGACAGAAAGATGAAAAAGAAAACTAACCCATTTTATTTTATATTTTTTGGAAAGCCTTCCGTGATTGTGTTGGTTGAACCCTAACTTTCAATTGAAATACTATTCACTTACATTCTAAGACACATGTACATTGATATATATCATACATATACATACTTACATACACATCTGTAAACCATGTCTTTCCAATTTATGTTTTCATGTAAAAGCTTAGAATCTGTTATTATATATGGAGAATGAGAACTCTTTTACATCTCAAAGAAATCCATCAAGGGGGTGAACAACATATACCCCTTTCAAAATTTCTGCATTGTGTTGTTTGCTTACTCAGATTACAAAATTCCCCCGAGTTTAATTTTCAATGGTGGGAATAGTTGCAACCAATGTTTCAATTTCGGTTGATTTGTGCTTTTGGGTATGTCATGCGTCGTTTGGTTGCTGAGAAAGTGCAAGGAAAGTCTAGATGATTTTGACTTTTCAACCTTTCCAAATCTGTGCATTGTGTTGTTTGCATACCCTGATTACAAAATGCCTTCAAGTTGTATTCATATTTTTAAGTTAGTCCCTAATTTTTATACTACATAGATTATGGTGAAAAAGTTCATTGTCAAATTCAAAGCTCTGTACCAATCCAAAAAAAAAAATAAAAAATCAAAGCAATGTGTATTGTATTGACTTGGACAGTGTTTGAAGTATGTCTTAATAAGGGAGGAAGGTTTTTGAATCTTGGAAGGTTTTTGAAGTATGTCTTAAAAAAGATTTTTATGTCATTTGTTTCTCATTTGGGTTTGATTGTGTTTCTTATTTATATTATGTGATTTGTTTTTCATTTATATTGCTTCAATTAAAATTTTACACATTTCAACATGATATGCATAAATTACAATTATGTCATTTGTATTTTTTTGTTTGAAGCCACAGAGATCATCAATTGAAGAGTTGGTTGCACATATTTTTCTTTGTTTTTTCTCTTTGATTTTGAATAATTAATAACTGTTGATTTGTTGATTACGGTTTAACTGTTGATTACGGTTTGATTTTTCTTCGATTTTGAATAATTAATAACTGTTGATTACAGTTTGATTTGTGGAAATTTGGGGAAATTTTCAAGAATTGAAAACTGTTTTCATTCACCACCTTAAGAGAAAAACTTCATTCAAGAATTTAAAAATCAGCCACCCGTTATTTATTACCAAATACCTGTAAGTATAATAGTCTGATATGAATCATGATTATTAGTTACCCAAAAAAAAAAAAAATCATGATTATTTGTTTTTTTTTAAGCCTTATTTTTTGTCCTCTTACATTTTATTATTATTCATAAGGTTGTCAATATCAGCAAAAGTGCATGAAAAAGAAAAGATCATATGAATTCATCTAATATTCATCAACTCCTAATTTTTTCTTTGTTCAGCCACAGAGATCATATTTTTCTTTGTTTTTTTTTTCTTGAGTATTGTTTTTCTTTAATTTTGGGTGCACTTTTATGGGTTTTGTTAATTTTGGCTGCACTTTACTTTACTTTAATTTTGTGCAACTATTGTATTGAGTTACTCTATTGAATGGTTGTTACCAAAATGTTCGAAACCCATTCTTGGTATCTTCTCTCCTATTGATTTAGTAGGAATTATTGGAAATAAGAAGAATGTTCTGCATTTTTTGATAATGCAGAACATTTCTGAGTGTTTATTCTTACTTGGACATGCATGTTGTTTATTCTTAATTTTTGATATTTTTCTTTTCGGGAATTAGTGATCCAATTTTGTAAAAGAATTCTTCTACCAGATTTTGGAAATTTGATAGTTCAATTTATTTTTTGTGGTGCAAATTAGTGATCCAATTTTGTAAAAGAATTCTTCTACCAGATTTTGGAAATTTGATAGTTCAATTTATTTTTTGTGGTGCAAATTAGTGATCCAATTTTGTAAAAGAATTCTTCTACCAGATTTTGGAAATTTGATAGTTCAATTTATTTTTTGTGGTGCAAATTAGTGATCCAATTTTGTAAAAGAATTCCTTCGCTATATCCTTCGATTAAAACTGCATTTTCTACTTTATTTGTCTATTGTTTCCTTTCTATTTTTAGAAAAATAGACTTTCTAGATGTAATTCTATTTAATGATTAGCTTTTTCCCCTTGCAGGTGTGGTTTATGGCGGGGTTTTCACACATTTTTTTATTGATTTTTATGAGGTCAGTCATTTTTTCCCCTACATTACTTGAAGCTATCTGTTGGCTTGCTGAACTCTATAGGGTTTTTGAGAATCATTGTGGAGTTTTTGAGAATAGTCAATTAAATTTTTTACAAATTTTACTTCAACAAGGTAAAACTTAATTACAATGGATTATTTTTATTTGGTAAATTACTTTTATAAGTTTTATTGCACAAAAACAACAAACCAAGGCATACCCCATAGCAAACAAAGAAACAACAGTATCAAAGAACCTTAAAAGCAATCAAGACAAGAACACAAGTAGAAATCATCTAATTAAAGCAATAAAGACAAACAGAACCTTAAAAGAAATTCCCATAAGTTACAATCATGCCTATTCATTCCTCCAAAAAATTCTAGAGTTCCTTTCAATCCAAACATGATATATAGGGGCAACAAACAATAATGTTCCCAAATGGGCCTTCATATTTGTTGTGTGTTATGCAACAAAGATGAGGAGAATCACTATTCATATTTGTTGTGTATTTCATGCATGGCTGATTTCACCTCATCAGGATAATTTACTTTTGTATATTATTTTGGCCTTTTTAAAAATAATAATAGCAATAGAGATTGGCCCTAATTATGCTTTGCCAAATCTTTACAATTTACTCATGATTGTCCATACTGTCCTATGCATCTCTCACTCATGCTTATGTATGCCTTTAAATGTTTAGATGTTCATGTCTTCTGTCAAATTTACATGCTCTTCTGCAATGCACTTGCAGACTGAATATATGCATGTTTATTTCCAATCATATTGATAAGTAGCTATTATTGCAGGTTATTGGAATTGATCTTTGTCACAATCTCTATTGCTGGCTATAGTTGGACTTGCTGAGGATAGGCATTGGAGGGTTCGACTTGCAATAATAGAATACATACCTTTATTGGCAAGTCAGTTGGGTGTGGGATTTTTTGATGATAAGCTTGGTGCTCTCTGTATGCAGTGGTTGCAGGCTAAGGTCGGTGCTGTTGCCCACTCTTGACAGTTTTATCTATATATCAAACTCTATACTTTTGCCAACTGTCAATAACTTAAAGCAGTCAGAACAAACTTACTTTGACATAAAAACTGCCTGTCAGTCGAAAGTGAGCTATTGGCTCAATATAATGTGATAGATTTGCTGCTCTGTTTATTTGAAGTGATTACCTTTCAAGAGAGTCCATATTTTCTTTTCTTTGTTTGGTGATTATCATTGTTATGTTGGTAAAATTGAATGATAGAGATGCGATCAATCTGTTCTGCAAGTTGAGCATATGAGGGCTACATTCAATATTTATTCTTTTGGTCATTTATTTATTTTTTATTCTTTCAAATTAGTTTATTACAAAGTTTATCGAATTATTATTTTTTTGATATGCATGTAGGATAGGAGTATGATAGCTATGTGTTTGTGTCAAAGCCAATTTAATTACTTATTCCAGTAAATTAAAGGATTAGTTTTTTCCATTTTACTTGAAGATGAAATATCATTTCTGATAAGCTAATTTAGTAAACGCATAACCAAACACATAACTCGAAACTCCATACTTACTTTATGCTTGAAGCAGTTTAAACCTGCTTTATACTTTTAATTAGATGACTATGCATAATGGTACCTCATATGTGAAGAAGAAGGTGGTTTCACTTTCAACCCTTAATGTTTGTTTTCAACTATTCACTTCTGTATTTATTTTATTTTATTTATGTTAAAAAAATAAAGTTATCTGATTTGATAAATATGTCATTTCCTTTCTCCCTCTAATCATTAGTTTTTTCCCAAATTTTAGTTTGTTATTTTTTGTTATTTTCATATTGTGTTGTGTTTTTTTGTTGGTGGTCATCAATTTCTAGGTTCTCAATATAATCAAAGGTACAACTCTCTCACACAATTTTTCTTTATTACATCTGTTTCATTACTTATATAATTTTGATAAAAGTTAAATTGTTTGGTTTGTTACTTTTTTAGTTATGTTTTAAACAAAGCTCCCTTTCCATTTGCATAAAAGATAGGCAAAATGGGACTAATGAGCAGTAAACCATGATTAAAAAAAAAAAATAGTATTACTCAAACTTTTTGCTTTTATTTGCTTTTTTCACTAGATTATTTTTCTTAATATTTCTTTTTTTCTTATGGAGCTTAGTAAAGGGTGTTGTAGTAGTCTTTGTAGCTTTTTTGTTAGTGGTTTTGGTGAATGTTAAAGTAGTGGAATGAAATTGAATGGATTAGTATGACCTATGCACTGTACACTAGATTTCTTTTCCCCCCATAAGAAAGTGTTGGCTTGGCCATTACATATTTTGGGGATTGTTGAGAGTGTGTGTTGAAAATTTAAACCAAAAAGAAAATGTGCATAATGAGGATTGAAAAAATTGAAAAAAGAAAGAAAAAGGAAGATAAACATAGATAAATCTATTTATTTATTTTTTTTTTTGTGAACACACAGACTAATCTTAGGTAACAAAATGCCTTTCGTAAGACAATATACGCTGGTAAATTTTGAGTTACTTTGGAAATAACTTTGTACTTAGTTTTGGAATCCCCTATTGTCAAAATAAAAATTGATGTCTAATTGTCTTTTAAATTGGTTTTTCAGGATTTATAAATTTACATTTTATTTAAGAGAAAACTAAAGTTGTAGGTTCTTTTTTCCTCTCTATTTCTGTCTTATCTTTTTAACCTCTTGGAATATGAGGACAACAAAATCGTGGTGTAGAGTTTTTGTTGTCCCATTGTTCTTCTTGCCTGGTTTAGTTAGTAAAGGAAAACAAGTGTTTTCATTTTTTGTCAAGTAGATAATAAATGTAGTAAAACTAGATAAGGAAATATGTGAAGAAAGCGAGTTGGACTGTGTGTGATGGCAAGTGGTGTTTGATAAATGATAGATGCTTTTGAGTAGTTAGAAAGTTTATTCCATACTATGTGATGTTGATTTGAAAATACTGAACATTAGACATTTTTACTTTAATCCATCAAATTTAACTTTATTATTATTTTTCAAATTTAATTTTTATTTTTTTTTTAATTTCAGGTATCGATATTAGAATGGCTATTGAACGACTTTCAAATCCTTTTAACTTTGGCCAATTTTTAGGGCAACAATTTCATTTTTAAAATTGTCTTAGTTAATATATTTGATGGCTTCTTACGAAAAGTGCAAAATAAAGGAGAAATAATCTTGGGATTAATCTTCTCCTGTCCAATTTTATTACGGGTATACACTGTCATCCCAACTTTAATCTTGGGATTAATCTTGGGACAAAATGTTTGGAGATATTGGGATTAATCTTGGGATTAATCCCAATATCAATTTTATAGCAATTGTTATCCCAACATTAATCTCAAAATGTTGTCATTGGGGTTTACCATCGCAACATCCCAACATAGATGGACATGAGTGATGACCCATCACTACTGATTGTCCTATATATAATGCAAAGGACTCCCAGATTGGGGACACACTAATAGACCTTTTTGAGACTCCTTTAGCTTTGCCATTCTATGTCAATAACTCAATTTTTTTTAATGTTTTTTAATTTCCCAACAGTGGCTTCAAGACGCATCGTTCAACACCAAAATAGAGGTATTTTACATTGTCTATTGAATTTTCCTTTTTCTGCTCTTGATCGCTGTTGTTGGTTAATTATGTTGTTTGGATTTATTGTTTGAATTCTGAATCCTGAAGGATTTGTTGTTTGGATTTGTTGGTTGATATTTTTTGTATTATTTTTAAAATTTCATGTACAGGACACAGTGCTTCCCTTTTGCAATAGTCAGCCTTCTATTTGACATGTAATTTTATAGAGATATGTCCAATTTTGGAGTTAATAATAATGTATTTTGGAGTTGAGCCCATCTCAAACTCAATTAAACAATGGACGTTTTATTTCTAGGCTTTTAAGTCTGTAGAAAATTTGTCAAAAACTTACTAAATAGGTTTTTGTTTTCAAGCTTCTTTTTTTCTCCTTCCTTGAAAGTTCAAACATTGAGTTTGCATTTGCTTTGATTGTTGGAAAACTTTGTTCTTTACCTGCTCGCAAAACTTTTTGCTTTATTGTTGACTATAAATGAAATAACATAACAGCAACTTAAAGATCGCATAAACACGTAATTAAACTAAAATAAAATTATTGGGGCATTAATTGAATTTCATTTGAAAACTCATCTATGTTCTTATAAAGTTTAATTTTAAATCCCTTCATTTGATTGGAAACTTCCACAGCTTCTGTGAACTTAGATAGATGTTTTTGAGTTTGTTTTATGGTGAGTCACCAAAGCTCAACAATGGTTGTTTGCCTATGCCATTTTCTTGGTATAGAAATAGGGATTTTCAGATCATAATTTTCTTGCCATTTTATTTTTAAGATAAGAAGGGTTGGGATTACAATTATATTAAATTAATAATTGATAATTGATAATCTATTAAATAGTATTGGGATTACAATTATATTCTAATTCCAACATTATTTACACCGTGCCTTCAGACACAGGTATACACTAGTATATATATATATGTAACAAATTCTATAATTTTGACATCATTACACTTTTTTTTCCTTTTAATAAGGTCAGTGTTGAGTTGGTTGGGTCATTGACCTTATGCTCACCCCTAAACTTGGATTGCACTCGTGGATTGGAGACAAATCTCAGTCAAAATAAAAATAAACAAATTTTAAGGATAAATTATAAATATATCTTTTGAGATTTATTTAAATTACAAATTATTTCTTGTAATTTTAAAAATTACATTATGCTTTTTAAAGTTTTTAATTTCTTAACAAATAAGTCTTTTAATTAATAAATTATTAAGTTAATTAACAGTTTTTAATAATGTTAAAATTTTATTTCTATTAATAATTTAGATAATTTTATTATTGTATAGGTAAATAGTTAAAAATTTCACTTTTTCAATTAATTCTGTTAAATAAAAAATTCTTACAAAAAGATATTTATAATTTTCTAAATCACAAGAGACAATTCGTATTTTAAGCAAATCTCACAAGGTGTATTTATAATTTACCCAAATTTTAAAATGTTAGTACTGATCTTTGGGAAAACATAACCACCAAATCAATGGGGGAAAAAAAAAAACCCTTGGGGAGAGTAATAACCAATGGGATAAATGCAAATCTTCAAGTAAATTTGCAAATAAATAGAAGAAATACCACAATAACTACCTACATTAGAGGTGTTTGGCAAAGGTTTTTTTTAGTTTTTTGGTTTAAAATCTACAAAATGACAAAATATGCTAAAATAATCAATAAGATAAAATGTTACTTCAAACCCATAAACATTTCATTTTTTCTCTTACAAATATCACATTCAATTACAAAAAAATCTAACTATCTTTTCAAATACAAAAATTTTAACCTACTAAAATAGTCCAAAACTAAAATACCCTTCTAAAATAATAACTTCCCAAACACCCACTAGGTAAAGTCAAGCCAATTTAACAGAAAGTGCTTATTTAGCAAGATTCAAGTTGTTTTGGGGGTAATTAGCAACTTTTTTATTTTTTATTTTTTTTATGATCAGTAATTGGCAACTTTTGCTCAAGCAATACCACAATAGAACTTCTACCCAGCGATCTAGAATCGCGCATATAATCTTGCAAGTCCTCATCGCAACCTATTAAAATCAACTCACCGTCCTCATCTTCATACTTCACATAATAAGTTCCAGCCTTTAAGTTTAGCCTTTTAGCCACTTCTTGCTGCAACTGCACGAATCTTGATGACAAAGACAGACGAAATTTCATTGTAATACCTTCTCCATATTTTGCTTTTACAGTCACAATATTCGCATCTTGCATCGTTTTATCATGTGGCTCGGTGTGAACAATAGTAGCCGAGGATTGAGTAGAAGGCAGATGATCAGAATTAACACACTGGGCAGATTCATCGAGTTGAGAGCAACCAACCTTGTTCATCTTGCGAGGTGGCCACCTCTCTATACCAAAAGTCCTGCATACACGCTTCAATGTAGATTTGCTAACTGCGAAAGGAAAAATCAAAATAAGAGAACTTACTTTCTATTTGTTTCTGCAAAAAGCTCAATATATACTCTACCAGAAGAGTCCATCTAGTTGAAATAACTACCAACATCACAAGTAAAATTACATTTTAATTTAAGAAGGTGCAAGCATACCTTTGAGGCTTTTTGCAGCATTCTCAAGGCTCAATTCTGAATTTTGTAGGATATCCTCCAGTGGAATTTTAATTTTAACTCCGATATTGTTGCCATCTCTTTTTGACGTCTTTACTGTGCCTCCAGATTTGTTGCCTTTTCTTTTTGACACTTTTACTGTGCTTTTCTCTTGTGTAAAAGTAATAGCAAAGTTGTTATGTTCTGTATTGCCAACATTGCTTCCAGTATTTATGGCATTCACTAATTGTTGATCTGATGAATCCACTTGGATTACCTCAACTTCACTTTGTGAGAGTTCCAGCTGAGGCAAAGATATAGTGGTTTGGGGGTTTTGAACTGGATCAAGTTTCTCACCATTTTGAATACTAATTTCTTCAATATGTAATTTTTCCCAAAGTTCTCTAGAAGCAACCCTAAGACAACGAAAATTTTCCCTCATTGTTTCCAATATTTTCCTTAATGAGGTATGTGGGTTTTCACTGGCATTGTTGCTCATCGGCATAAAAAACTCTAGCACATAAACATCATTTCCAATGTAATTGCTCTCCAAGCATATTGCGAAGCAACCGCTTAATCCAGCCTTTCGTGCATGGTGTGCCAATGGGCCTTTAGAATCCATACAGATCATCCTATACCCACAAAGTCCTTCAATATTAAAGTCATAAAAACATGATGATAGAGAGAAAGGTTGGTTTCGAGTTGTAAGAAAAGGCCGGCCCTCTTTTGTTGTTATGGGCGCCCAAAATTGAACTAGCATCGGACAAAGAGTCCAATGTATAATTCTGGAAAGCAAATGTCTGATGATCTTGTTTAAGTTGGAAATATCTGATAAAACAAACAAATTTCAGGAGAGGATTGATTTCAAAACAAGGTAACATTATTGATTTAAATTGACTTGAAACGACTAAACTATAAAATAAATAAATAAATAACTATTCAAATCTAGAAATAATAATCATAATAAATAAAGAAAGAGAGATACGAGTAACTCACCGCCGTCGGGGAGAGTAGAAGGACGTTGGGGTTCGTCGTCTTCTCGGCTCCAGAAAACCCCTCCATACAAATATTCTGAAAGATAAAATAAGTGTAAGGGCCAAAAATTGAGTTCCTTGTACATATATTCCTTGAAATCGTCGGGTAAATTCAAGACATATTTGCCTTCTGCGTCGGCCATTTTTCTGAGAAATCAATCGGGGACCTTCCAGCTCCAACTATGGTGTTTAAATACAATTTTTTCAAGCAACTATGGTTCAAATTGGGTACAAAAAGGATCAGACTTCGAAATGGTTGCGTTCAAAGGGTTTTTTCCATCGAGGAGTTCAAAAGGCTCATTCACTCTCTACAAAAATAAATAAATAAATAAATAAATAAATAAATAAATAACAAGTCAAGTCAATATTTTCTTAAGCGGTAATGATACATCCCACTAAAAATGGTACTCTAAAGTACCACTAATGAGTTGGCAAGCACTTAAAAAAAAAAAAAAAAAAAACAAGACACGGGGTCCACTGCCACATCATTAGTGGTGCTTTTAGAGCACCACTTTTAGTGGTCTTAAGCATTATTATTTTCTTAATTCCCCTTTGTTAGATTATTATTATTTTTTATTTATTTATATCTTAAGATAGATAAAAGCCAAAACAAAAAAATTAGGATACTCAACCCTGGTTTAGCTATTATTTTTTGGTTAAAAAAGTACAAAATGATAAAATAGGCTAAATAAATTAATAAGAAAAATATTACATTTGATCCATAATCATTATACTTTGTTTCTTACAAAATTTGAAAAAGCCAAATGATCCAAACCAAATGAGACTAAAAAAGTCTCAACAAAAAAGTTAGTTATAGTTTCGTTTGATTTTAGATTTTTGGCTAAAAAAGTAAAAAAAGAAAAAATTGGCTACATAAATCAATAAGACAAAATGTTACATCCAAACCATAATCATTACATTTTTTCTCTCACAAAAGTAAAAACGAAACCAAAAAAGCCAAACCAAACGAGGCTAAAACAGTTAGATTAAAGAAGTCCCAACATAAAAAAGTCGACTAAAAAAGCCAATGCCAAACAAAGATTATCTTAGCCAATGTTAAATAAAGCTTCAGCGAATATTTCGATCCATTTAAATTAACCAAATCAAATTGATCACATTTTTTATGGATGCATGATAACGAGCGGACGGTTGCGAATTGATTTTTTTCAATCTGTCTAGTTTTGAATGGATGGCAGATTTGAAGTTCTTTTAGCCGTAACCGAACAGCCAAACTACGAGCACCCTTGGTAATTCGTAAGACTTTGTATTTTCAATTTATTTAGATATTCTGTTTATGTTTTTAATTAAAAAAGATTTTAGTTATTCTATTGTGTTTTCAATTTAGAAATCCTTTTATCAAATGACAAGTGTTGATATTTGGTATTTTTATATAAAAAATATAAGGCTTAATTTTGTCATTTTTTTAAAATCAAATTAAGCCTCCGTTTGGCAAGAAAAAGCCCAGGCTTTTTTGGCTAAAATAGCCACAAAAAACAAAATAGGCTATTTTAGCCACAAAAAACAAAACATCAAATCCAACCCATAATCATTACAATCTTCTCTCACAAAAAAAGCCAAAAAAGTCAAAAAGCCAAAAAGCCCTTCCCAAACCAGGCTAAAATAGCCCAGGCTAAAATAGCCAAAAAGCCAAAAAGCCAAAAAGCCAACCCACTTCCCAAACGGAGGCTAAATAGTTTTTTAATAAAAAAATAATAGGTGACACTGAACAAATAGCTTGGAGTTGTTGCTCCCAAAGTTTCAAAATTAAATTTATGGCCCAATGCCCTATACCTTTCATATTTTAAATTTAAATTTGAACACTTATTACTTGATAATTTGATGTGTTTATAAACATTATAAAAATTTAAGTTATTCAAACTCAACTCAATTAGACTGAAAAGATAAATAACACTTATTACTTGATAATTTGATGAGTTTATAAACATTATAAAAATTTAAGTTATTCAAACTCAAATCAATTAGACTGAAAAGATAAATAACACTTATTACTTGATAATTTGATGAGTTTATATACATTATAAAAATTTAAGTTATTCAAACTCAACTCAATTAGACTAATAAATAAGTCAAACTTAAATATATTTGATAAAAACTTACAAAATTATACAATAAAATTTTGAACAACTTATTAATCAGCTCAACTCAGTTGATTCATTGAACACATCGACAAAAGTGCTTCTTCAGTGTGCATTGATCAATGTATTTTAGGTGATAGGCATTCGAAAATTCATAAGCACTAGTGCGATGGATGAATTCTGTCTCAAGGATATGGCGTCAAATGATAGCCTTAATCATTCATCCGTTTTCCTATTGGACAATATATTTTCTGTAAGTTATACAATTTCAATTTTTCTAGTTTCAATCCTTATTTCTATAATCTATATATATTGTTTTGTTTTTTCATAACAGTGTTGTTTAGTTTACTATAATAATTTTTTGTATTTCGGATTCTGCTTCTGTTTTGCATAAGTACCAAGGGCTTTTCTTCATGTTTGAAATTGTAACTCTTTTATATTTCCAACAAGGAAAATGTTAAAGAAAAACAAATGCTTTTCATATATATATATATATATATATATATATATTTAAAAATAAAAATTTTGTTGCCATTTGGAGGATTTATAAAGAACTGAACAATACAAAATATTTAAATCAGATTTAACTCAGGCACAACCACTTTCAAAATATTTTTATTCTACCAACTAATACTAAATTTCTAGGTGATCAATCATAAAAAAGATGGAATGCAAAAGCTGTTAGACTTATTTATTTTGATAATTTATTTAATTATGTTTTAATTTATTTGAAAGAGAAAAATAGAATTCAAAATTTATTTTGATGATTTATTTAATTATATTTTAATTTATTTGAAAAAGAAAAATAGAATTAAAAATTATTTTGATGATTTATTATTAAATCAGGAGTTCAAACAGCCCAAAACAAAGGTTCAAACAGCCCAGCACAGCAATAGGCCAAAAGGTTCAAAAGATTCAAGTGGAAGATATTCAAATTAGTAATGATGGAGTTAAAGATATTCAAATTAGTAATGATAGAAGTACAACGACTATAAATTCAAATGAATACAACAGCTATAAAAGGCTATAAGTTTCATTATATATACCAAAGCCTCTAATGTAAACAAGTTACTAAAAAAGCTAGAAAATATTCTTTGATCTATAATCACTCACATCTATTCTCTAAAAAATTCTCTGAGAAGTGTTCTTCAATTTTTGTTTACATCCTTTCTTAGAAATTATACACTGAGCCTTATAGCATTAAGCTCATCTTTCCTGTGTGATGTTTACAGAAAAACCAGAGCTTCATTTTTATATCTATCTTTGAGAGATAATTATTGTAGCTTTCTATGAAAGCAAAAACACATTCTTTTCAACATTGTAAGAGTGTAGTACACTCAGTGTTCTTGACTTAGAAAGTCTGTGTAAAATCTGTGGAGGATTGCTCCATCTGTGATAAGGTTGCTAGCATCCTGTGAAGCTAGAAGATAGTGAAAAATCTCAAGTGAAACTTGAGGTGTGGATGTAGGCTTGGTTGAAGCCGAACCACTATAAATTTGTTTGTCTCATCTTCGCTAATCTCTTTACTTTCCTACTACTGCTATATATATCTAATATTCATATGCTAATCATTTGATTTACCCTATATGTTAGTTATACTTCATTATTATTTTGCTTGATCATTTACTGCTAAGTTGTAAACCGCGCAAACTTCCTCCGCGCGCCCCCCTTTCGGAGAGGGCGCAAATTGGGTTCTAGCTACTACAGTTCGGATTCCTGTCACGGTTCTGAATCTAGTCTCACAAAGTGCAATGTAAGACTGATAAATCATCAAAGAGTCCAAATCCGGCAATTGGTTTTGAAAAATCAATTTTGAATAAAAAAACGCCAAATATGGACTGCTTTGCCAGATTTCAGAATCACCACCCAAATATTTTATTTTGGAAAATTTAGGAAACCCTGACTCGTGCCTAAGGCCACGTGTCTGTCATCACCAAAGTTGCCTCGGCTTGGGAACTTGGGTACGAGAGGGGAAGGTCCTGAAATGAGCACCTCCGCTCGCTCGATCAAAGGATCGGCCTCTACTAACATGATATGTTGTTTCATAAACACATGTATTCTTATTCTGATTCTTAACTTACTATGTGATGCGCACAGCACACAAGTATAGACTAAATCGCGAGAATTGAAAAAAAAACAATTCATGTTTGTTTTTTGAAAATGGTTAGGAATTGCTACCCTCAAGTAGGCTAAAGTGCGGATTTGTCACCCTCAAGTGGGCTTAAAACATGATTTTGCCACTTCAAGTGGGTTTAAAACATACATTCAATGAATTGTCCCAATTCAAGCAACATAGCCTCCGTCCACAAGCATCCATGCAATTAATCATTTAAGCAAATAGCCTCATGGCAAACATGTTGTTGTGGCAATCACTTACACACATGCAAGGATGCTAAAGCGTAAACACTTACAGTGTACTCCGAGCTAAAACAGAAAACTAGTTAGAAATCATGCATGATCTTAACTATGTTAAAATGCCTAATGCAACACATGCAAAAATGCAACTAAATAGGCTCGGCTATCTAAGAGAGCATATGAATGCAACACTTGATAACATGCTTTGAAACACGTATTCAAGTAAGTGTATTGAAATACGATGTAGTTTGAATGATGCGCCGAGCCCGGTGTATGCCAGACAAATGAATGATGATGCAAACATGCAAGCATAAGGTATGTTAATTGGAAATTATCCATAATCTAACCATTGAAAGCGGTTAAAGAAAATGGAGAAAGACGTGGGGTTAAAAGACATTCACACACGCACGCACACTTATTACAACATTTGCCCTCTCGATGGAGGGTCCGAATAAATAAGCTAAGCTATACTAAGCTAAGCTAAGCTAACTAACTAATTAACTAACTTAGCTAATTAATTATTACAAATCAAATTGAATTTGAATAACTAGCTAATCTAAGCTAATTAGAATATTACAAAAATGAATCAAATTAGCTAAACACATTAACTAATTAATTACAAAACCGGTAAATTAACTAGCTAAGTAAAACAGTTAAAGAGCCTCGGGGCGAGGGATGCATGCATGCTTGATCAGCTTCCTCCTGAAAATCCGTCACCTTGCCACAGGTTGCCTCTGTTT